TTTACTTTAAATCAAAAAAAAAGTTACACAAAATAAGACATATTAATAAAAGTTTTAGTACAGCAAGAAGATATAAAAATTATACACACTTGCACACCTAATAATAGACACACAAAATATCTGAAGCAAAACTGGCAGAATTATAGGGAGAAATAGACAGTTTTACAAAACGGTTGGAGATTTCAATATTCCACTCTCAGTAATGGATAGAACAAGAAAGACAATAGGTAAAGAAATAGAGAACTTTAACGGGACGATAAACCAACTAGATATATAACAGACATATTTAGAACATTTACCCAACAAAAATAGAATACATATTCTTAAGTGTACATGAGACATTTTCCAGGATAGGGCCACAAATTAAATATCCATAGATTTAAAAATATAGATACCTTAAGAAGTATCTTATACCACAACAAGATGAAGTTTGAAGCCAACAACAGAAGGAAAACTGAAAAACTAACAAATATGTGAAAATTGAACAACATACTCTTAAACCAGCGTGTAGAAGAAGAAACCACAAGGGAAATTAGAAAGTACTTAAGAGACAAATGAAAACAAAAACAACATACCAAAACTTATGGAATAAAAATAAAACAAACAAACAAATCTGGAGCTGAAAAGTACAATAACTAAAATGAAAAATTCATTAGAGGGATTCAGAAGCAGATTTGAACAGACAGAAGTATCAGCAAACCTGGGATGGGATGAAGTAAAAGTGCTAGGAGGGAAATTTTTAGCTGAAATGCTTATATTAAAAAGAAAAAAAGTCTGCAGGGAACAACCTAATTTTACAACTTAGGGAACTAGAAAAAAACAGTCAACTAAACCCAAAGCTAGCAGAAAGAAGGAAATAATAAACATTAGAGCAGAGTCAAATAATATAGAGAACAGAGAAATAATAGAGAAAGTCAATGAAACTTAAAGGTAGTTCTTCAAAAATACTGACAAATCTTAAGCTATACTAAGAAAAAAAGCAACATTTACTAAATTCAAATTACTAAAATCAGAAATAAAAGGATTATTACTTATTTTTACAGAAATAAAAAGGATTAAAAGAGAGTATTATGAATTATATGCCAAGAAATTGGATAACCTAGATGAAATGGACAGATTCCTAGAAACACAAATATCAAGACTGAATCATGAAGAAATAGAAATGTGAACAAGCATATAACTAATAAGGAGATTGAGTCAGTAATCGAAACCCTCCTGACAAAGAATCAAATCCTTCTAGACCTGATGGCTTTACTGGTGAATTCTACCAAACATTTAGAGAAGAACTAACACCAGTCCTTCTCAAACTTTTCCATAAGTATTGAAGAGGAGGGAGCACTGCCTAACTCATTCTATAAGGCCATCATTACTCTGATACCAAAATCAGACAAAGATACTACAAGAAAACTGTAGACAAATATCCCTTATGAATATTTAT